AAGAACCAGGTCACCCTCCGAGGAATTAGAGCTGAGTAAACCAGAGTTCACAGAACAACATCGGTCGAAACTGTGATGCGTGAGGTGTCGCGGGGTTCACATACTCAACGCAAAGTGGTTTTCACAGCTGAAACTAACTGTCCGTGTTTGCTCCCCTCTCCACTGGCAGGGTAAAGCAATGCAAAGATTACTATGAAATTCTGGGAGTAAACAGAGAAGCTTCTGATGAGGACCTGAAAAAGGCTTACCGGAAACTCGCACTGAAATTTCACCCAGATAAGAACCACGCACCAGGGGCTACAGAGGCATTTAAAGGTAAAGAACATTTCCAACTTTGTGATTTGCCCTCAACTTATCAGGCGATGCTGCTGAGTTGGGCTAGCAAGGGCTCTTAAAAACAACCTCATGAATCGGGTAGAGTGAAATAAAGCTCCTCTTAGTAAAGTTCTGTCTCTCCTGAGCTGGTTGTGTTATGGACAAAGTATACTCTAAGCTTAAAATGATAAACACAGGTTGGCGTGGATAGGCTTCATGGCTGCTAATCGGGCAAGGAGAAGCCTTCCTTCCCTTTCTCCTAGCAGCCCTTCCTGCGAGTTGCTCCAGCCTCCTGCCACGCTGCTCAGGAGGGAATTCCCTCGGGATGCTAACCATCTTATGGTTTTTTTGGAGAGATGCAGGAGCATTCACCTAGCAGGGAGAAGCTCCAAGTCCTGCAGTTGTCCAGCACGGGGCAGGTGCTGGGGTGCACCCCTGTCTACTGACAAACCCAGTAGAATCATAGAATGTTTTGGGTGGGAAGGGACCCCCAGAGGTCACCCAGCCCAACCCCCCTGCAGGAGCAGGGACACCTTGAACCACATCAGGTTGCTCACAGCCCCAGCCAACCTGGCCTGGAATGGTCCCAGGGATGGGGCCTCCACCCCATGGGTAGGTTCTGGGCAACCCCTGACAGTGTTTCACTACCCTCATTGTAAAGAATTCCTTCCTTAGATCCAGTCTAAACCTCCCCTGCTTCAGTTTAAAGCCATCCCCCCTTGTCCTGTCCCAGCTGGCCCTACTAAAAAGCTTGTCCCCCCTTTTCCTCTCCCCTGAGAGCCTTTAAGCCCCCTCTCCCCCTTTAAGCCCTGACTGGCCGCACTCAGCTCTGCCCGCAGCCTTCTCTTCTCCAGGCTGAACACCCCAACTCTCCCAGCCTGGCCCCATAGCAGAGGGGCTCCAGCCCTCGG